AAAAAAAAACACCCAGTAGTCACATAGTGATAATTAAATAATAAAAAATATCAATTAGGTCTCCAAAGACAAAGTTACTTACTTTTCTGTCAGCACTGGGTGCGATTATGTTATTTTTAATGTTTGCGGGCATTTTATATGGTCCTTTATCAATGAACTTAAGCGAAAATGCAACTTATCATTTAAGATTGTGAGCTATTGAAAGACTTTATATATTCGTTATTTATAACACAATTACTTAAATCAATCACTTTTGTGTTGTCTGGCAAGACAGGTGGCTTAACGATGAAAAGAAAAGTATCGATGTTGTTTGTGATGAGATAGTCCTATTGAGGCAAACAATTAACTACGTGATGTAGATTTTGTAATCACGGAATAATATATTAAGTACTTATACCTAGTGGGACGTCGCGGAGAACCTAACGGGTAACCGGGGCTCCGGCTCGACGTGCAGGAGAAGGAACGGGGTGGTTTTTAGTCAATAAGAGTCTGACACTCCCTCCCGCCTCACCCAGGCGGGAGCAGTCATTCGATGATTCGTCTGTAATAGCCCCCCCCCCCAATACGTAGTGGGATAAATATGTCTTTCTTACTTCTTATCTAGGTATTACATGGGACTCATAATGGACGCATGGGCACGTCGTGGTTATGGAATAGACATTTATTACTCACGATAGTTCAGTTTTCTACAACGTGGTGCAGAAAACTGATGCACTTGCGCATCTAGTGGCGCAAAGTCCTCATTTTAGGAAGTCTAAGATCTATGTGCATCCTGAAGATGGACAGCAATGTTCCATCTCCAAACCGCTCGTTAAACGTAGGTGTTATTGCTGTACCAATTCTTTTCTCCAAGAGAGAAGCGACTGACTTTCTGAGAGGCTTTTGTTCTGCAGTTTTCTTTAAAGTGCTCCTTTACCGGAAGCATTCGCGTGTAATGTAACGTTACAGGTCTGATCATTACATCAGTGAAGGAGGAAACCGAGCATTACAATGCGCACCTTGTAATGATCCAATGTGTAATATCTTGATACAATTTGTAATATCAATGAATGACATCTTACTATAAAATGCTCAAAGTCGAATCTATATGTTACTTACATTACACGCAAATGCTCGTTATTCAGGGAGGTATTATTGTAATGTAATGCTCAAAGTCGAATCTATAATGTTAGATTACACGTGAAAGCTCCCGTGATGTGAGGGAGCACGTTTAGGTAAGTTTAGGAAAAACGTTTAATCATGCTTAGTTACAAATAGGTACTATTAGATAAACTTATCTAGGTACATTCCCTTAGTAAATACCTAAGGGTTTCATATTTTATATCGCAATGATTATCGCATTTTATGTGGTCACAAGACAGTTTAATTTTATATGTCCCTAATAACAACAAATTGCAAGATAAACTTTATCAATATAAATACTTTTTATTTACAACGTTCCTTATTGCCAGATCAAGATATCTTTTAATGCTGGTATTAAGGTACATTTGGTATTCAATTATCTATCGTGTGCGCGGCAAACCGTGGTAGCTATTTATGATGTGGCTTAGAAACTAGTAAATTTTTATATTTTGCACGTTCTAACAGGTACCTACTTATTGCGTACTTATTAATTGTTATTATCACCTGTCATCGCCTTTATAACCGAATTCAAAAACAGAAGGTCTCAGTTGACCTGTATGGATTATGTTTGCGCAATCAATCGCGAGATAATCGAATCTCGCGATTGGCTGACACGATTTTGATCCGGTTTTCAGACAAGTGTTTCTTACCCTCAGGAGGAGGTTTAGTAACCTAATATTAAAAAATCGACCTTAAAAAGATGGGGATTAAGGCCTATTCTTTTTAAACGTAGTTTATGTGTATAAGAATTATTAATGCTTTGATATGATGGTGTATAAATAAGGCATAAATGTCCTATCTACTGTCGCACTTACCTATAGTATCTAGGGTTGTTTTTGTCCGTAACTTTTATCAATAATGTGTTCACTAATTTAGCCGTTAAATCTTTACAAAGAATAAAAAAATAACAAGAAGTTTAGTTTCTGTAATTACCGTACTTCGTGCAAATAAATGTTCTTCCTGAAGAGTTCCGGTCTTTCCTGAAGAGTGTGTACGAAAGCGTGTATACACGTATCCACATAAAAAACTATATTTTCCGTATCCTAAAAACTCTTATGAAATAATATTAATTAAAAGACATTTAAGGGAGTTTCTTTGAATATTCAGTGTGGGAGAGTCATGCTTCGGCACGAATGGGCCAGCTCGACCGGAGTGATACCACGGCCTCACGGAAAACCGACGTAAAGCAACGCTTGCGTTGTGTTTCGTCGTGTAAATGAGGTTACCGGAGGCCCAATTACCCTCCCTTTCCCCAACCTCCCCAATCCCTGAATCCCCAACGATCCTCAAACTCCTAATCCCCAAAAAGCCGGTAACGCACTTGTAACGCGCCTGGTGTTCCAGGTGGGCGACGCCGATTGCTTACCACCAGGTGATCCGTCAGCTCGTTTACCGGCTTATGCCATAAAAAAAAATATTCAGTCTTACATTAAACCTTTGAATAGTCAAGAAATTAGAACGATAAATTGTCGTTTCAAAACACAATTTTCATATGACGTTGATATCTACAATCTACAATTAAGTGCCTACTTAGTACCTAATTTTAAGGATTATCTACATCTGGTATCTTTTAATAAGAGCTTGGTGCTAA